TATAAACCATCTAATCTAAATCTTAATCATGTGCTTTAGCCACATGACTGTTCTTCCCCTTCTAATTTTGTATTTGTATTGTAAATTGCAGACCAGGTGGGTTAGACAGGATCATGAAACATAACTAGTGTTGTGTCTTAGCCCGCAAATAAATAATTGTTCCTTTTTCTCTAAATAATTTTAAACTAGTGAATAAAGATGCCTCTCCCTACTGCCAAATTAATTTCACACTTAATTTATTTCCCAAGTGAAATCAATGATTCTACTGTACATTTTAGTGTTAAAAATGGAAAATAATGTATTTATCTCTAAAGACGGGGTATTATAGCTGAAGTACAGGGCAAAGAACAGTATGTTATCTACTGAGTTCTTCTCTCCTTTACCAATTCACTTATCTGTAGTTCAGCAAAAGGTTCTTAAGGGACCCCCTATATGTTCTAATTGAACTGATGTATTGCTCTTTGCACCTGATTGCCTTAGTTAAATGAGGGAAATGAAATCAATAAGGTGCAATTACTGGAAGGTTACAAAGAACGTGAATTCCCATGGTTCTGTCTCCACTTCCTTCAAATTCTCGCATATTGAACACAAAAGCAGCTTCCTAATTGGTATTGATTTGTCAATCCTTTGAATTCAGCAGTGTCAGAATGGAAGTTACAGGATTGTGTCTCTGTTTTTTGTTTTTTGGGGGGAGCGGGTGTTAAAGTACTAAAACCAACTTGGGACCAAGTAGGTTTTTTAGATAAGAAATCTTGTATTCTTCACAGACTTCAATTGTGTGCATTTTGAAGAAAGAGGGGAGCCAAGGAGTCTAATGTATCATAAAATAGATTTTAATTTCATCACTAACCTACATTTGATGAACACATTAAATAAACTGAATTTTAAACTGCATCAAAATTGGTTTGATTGTCTTTTTCCATGTCATTAAGACCAATCTAAAAATGCACATTCATAATAATTATGCAGATCTAGTTTTAGTGGTTTAGTAAAAGACAGTCATAATGACTTTAATTTCTATAGTGGATAGCAGACTTCCTGTAGAAGGACTGGAACCATACTCTGTGTGTATGTGTCTTTGTAAATCTGGCTAACATCCCATCTTATATAAAAAATGCATACTGTAAGTCAGAAACCAAGGTCAAATTGTTGGTATCCCAGTATATAATTGTTAAGCGATGGTCAGGTTTCAGTAGTTAAGGTTGCAAACAGGGTTCTATTAAAGAATGCAATTTTCAATCCCTCTATAGCTTTGAATAGAAAACATGGTGTGCGCTAAAACTTCTAAGATGATTCTGAAAATAGAGGAGAATTTTTGAAAAAATATCTGTAATGAGTGCTGTAGTAATTGTAGACAGCAGCCAGAATGTTCTGATTCCCTAAAGTAAGGCTTCTAAATAAAGCTGTCCTAATTTTCAGAGGTGCTGAGCATCTACAGATCCCAGTGAAATGCTACTGAATGTCCATTTTTATTTAGGAGCCTAACTTTAAATAGCCAAGTTCAAATTCTGTTTGTCTGTATCACATGAGTATAATAAAAAGTGTGAGACTAGAAAGGAAAATATTTTTTATTAAACATCCAAATATCAAAACTTGTGGATGAATGCAAAAATCTGCTTCTGCCTGTCCTGTGGCCAGTGGCCCTTCAGGAAAGATCAGGGCCCAAATGATCCATGATGACCCTGTGGGGAATACCTGGGGGCAATCAGGTGCTCCACATCGCACTGTTTAGCTAATTAGAAATGGAGCAGCTGAGTTGAAAAGAAACAGCTAGAACAGTATAAAGAGGAAGTTGCCACAGGGAGGGGAGGAAGGAGTCTCTAGAGAAGCCCTGTGGCAGTTGCAGGCTGGAGGAAACTATATGATGTGGAATAAGCCTCTGTGGGGATGAGCCCTGAATGAGGCCTTGGAATCGACAGCTAAAGCCCCAAAAGAACTGTCAGAGTCCTGCAGAAGGGAGACAGTGGGGAGCTCCTGTCAGTAAGGTCCAGGAAAAGAGCTAGTGTCTTCCTCTAGGCTAGATAGGCCTACAGCTTGAGCCTGGCTCCTAGGAAGGGAGTAGGAAGATGAAGATTTAATTTAATGGGGGCTTGGGGCTCTCAGTCCACAGAGCTGAGAAGCTCATAAGCCCCATGTAACCACCCTGCAACCCCCTAAAGAGGCACAACACCCCCCCCCCCGCCAGAGTGAGAACCCCTGGTAGCAGAACAGAAGACTGAACCCTAGTGTGGATGGAGTGGAGCAGTTGAATCTGTGAGGCAGGAGGGGCTGCTGGCGATTTACTGATGAGAGGAGGCTAGAAGAAGAATAATACAACGCTGGTGAGGAGGAAGCTGAAGCCTGGGACTATCTATGTATTTATTTATTGGTTATTAATTAATAAAGTCTGTTAACAAAAAAATAATGAAAAAGGAGTTATGGAAGGTAAAGTCTGACTCAGGACTAATTTATATAGCCAAAAGGGGAAATTGAGGCACATTTCCCAGGGCTTGGACTTGTGACACTGACACTTTATTTGCTCATATTCAGAATGAATATTACCTCATCTTTTGCTGTAACAAATAGCTGAAACTTGCTGTTGAGTTTACTTCCAGTATCTCACTAAATTTGTTGAAAGGAAGCTGTTTAAATTACATTAGCACTGATTCCTTAGTTGAAAGTGAAGGATAGCTCCCCACTACTTCCTCCTTTACTTTTATTGGGGAAGGAAGCTCTGTGGCACGTCAGGTGTTGTCAAAATGTTCCTGTAATTCCTTTGATTGGGTGAGGAGGGTTTTGCTGTAGATTATATAGTCATGTTGTTTTTCATAAAAGTATCACTCATTATAGAGATAATGTACTAAATGTCCTAAAATTTGGACAGGGAGGTGTCTGAGAGTGGAATTTTATTTACTGTGTATCAGGAGGCAGCTAGTTAATTAAATACAATAAAATGAGCAGTCTGGATATGAGATACTCATTTCTAAGTCTAAGGCCATAAGAACAAGGACAGGTGCCTGTTGGTGGAATATCATTTACAAAACAAAAGAATAATTAAACTTACATACAGATGAATGCCCAGAGAGATGTTCAAAATGTAAGCTTCTCCTTTGTTCTTCAACTGGCAAACTTATAGGTCTCAAAATGTAACTGTAAACAGGGAATCATCATCAAGTGGTGGTATTTGCAATGGGTTCCCAGAGGAATCAATTCTTCCCCTATACTATTTAACATTTTTGTCAGTGATGGGAACGAAAACATAAAATCATCACCAATAAAGTTTGCACATGACAAACAAATTAGGGGTGTGGTAGATAATGAAGAGCACAGATAATTTATTAAGAGTGATCAGGATCACCTAGTAAACTGGGTGCAAGCAAACAAAATGTGTTTTAATATGGCTAAATATAAATGTATACACCCATGAACAAAGAATGTAGGTCATACTTACAGGATGGTGGAATCTATCTTGGAAAGCAGAGACTCTGAGAAAGAGTTTTGGGGGCAGAGGGGAATAATCAGCTCAACATAGGCTCAAATGTGACGCAGCGAAGAGAGGTAATTTGATACTGGAATGCGTAAACAGGGGAGTCTTGAGTAGGATTAGAGAGGTTATTTTACTTCTGTATTTCGCAGTGGTCTGACTGCTGCTGGAATACTATGTCCAGATTTGGTGCCCTCAATTCAAGAAGGATGTTGATAAATTGGAGAGGGTTCAGAGAAGAGCCACCAGAATGATTAAAGGATTAGAAATCATGCCTTATAGTGATAGATTAAATGAGCTAAATCTATTTAGTTTAACAAAGAGAAGGTTAAGTGATTACTTGATTATACTATATAAGTATCTATGTGAGGAACAAATATCTAGTTATGAGCTCTTCTATATAGCAGAGAAAGGTATAACACAATCCAATGGCTGGAAGTTGAAACTAGACAAATTCAGACTGGAAATAAAGCCTAAAATTTTAACTGTGAGGGTAATTAACCACTAGAATAACTTACTAAAGGATGTTGTGGACTCTCCATCATTAACAATTTTTAAATCAAGATAGGATATTTTTCTAAAAGAATTGCTCTAGTAATTATTTTGGGGAAGTTCTATGGCCTGTGTTATACAGGAGGTCAGACTATGTAATCACAATGGTCCTTTCTTGCCTTGGAATCTATGAATTTGTGGGTGTGGAAGGGGAGATAGTTAAAGTTATACATGTGAAAACTATGTGACCTTTCCCACTGACTGACTTCACTAGGGGTACATCTACACTTACCGGAGGGTCCAGCGGCAGGCAATCGGTTTTCTGGGATCGACTTATCGCGTCTAGTGAAGATGCGATAAAATCGATCCCTGATCGCTCTGCCGTCGACTCCGGAAATCCACCGCGGCAAGAGGCGGCGGCGGAGTCGACGGCAGCGCGGCAGCGGTCGACTTTCCCCCGTCCTCACAGCCAGGTAAGTCGACCTAAAATACGCAACTTCAGCTACGGTATTCACGTAGCTGAAGTTGCGTATCTTAGGTCGGACCCCTGCTGTAGTGTAGACCTAGCCTAGGATTACTCATGAGCGTATGTACATGCTTAAATGCTTTGCTGAATTGAGGTCTAAATGCAGGAAGCAGTGGATTTCCTGAAAAGCATCTTGATTTTTATAAAGTTAGTAATGTAGGAACCTTTCCCCACATGCATTTCTAGCAGATGTCATTTTCATTTAGCAGAGCATAGCTCTATCAAGTGCCTTTTTTGCTGATAACTATTGCTTGCTTTCTTCCAGGTGGTGAGTATTCTTCGCTCCTGTTATCTTTATCCCCTGTTTTTCTCTTTCTTATACCTTGAGGATGTGTTGTATCCTCACATTGTCATATTTCATGTGTTATCTACCTTAATTTCCAGTAGACAGTCAATACTGCTGCAAGGATTAAACTTTGCCATGTTAATCAGGTCCTCAATTGTCACCCTGCTGTGGCAACCTAATAGGTGGGGAGAAATGCTAATATAGCGAATAAATGTGTCAATCTGATTCTGCAGACCCCCGCCAGTGAGTGAAGGTGCACCCAAAGGAACTCTGATTGCTGTTGTAACTGCTGCCGCCTTGAATCAGACTATTGTGTATTCAATTGTTTCAGGAAATGAAGATGGTAAGTAAGAGTATCTCAATGAAGTCGCAGATTATGCTGTATGGTACATTCATTAAAAGTAAACCGTTTCAGAAAGTGGTGTGTATATATAAATAAAACAGCTAGTGCTAAATCCTGCCTCGCCCAAGTAGCAGCTCCTGCTGCCATTACTCTGCTCTCATCAACCTGCTACATCCTGCCTATGCAGCAGAACTGCATTTGATGCCCTTTATGGCTGAGGAACAGGAAGCAGGGTTTGCTCCTTAAAATGTAAGAGAGATTTTTCATAGCTCAGTAAGTGTGTTCTAGCTAAAATGTAGGAAGTTGTTTGGTTCTACATTGTGTTATATACATGTCGATATTAGATTCTTCAGTTGTATCATTAAAAATATATATATAATGTGCTTTTGAGTGTGCTTTAAATGGAATCAGCCTAAATCTATCCTTTGTATAATTGGGATGCTCACTACCCCTGCAATGTGATTTTTATTGATTATCATATCATATCATATCATGAACACTTGAAAAATATCATAGAGCCACACAATATCCCCGTTCATGAAGAAATCTCACTTGAAAAATCTCCAAGCAGTATTTTCAAGGCATCATTCCCCTAGGTGAACGGGCTTATGTCTGAACAGAAGGTACAGGAAGGAATAGTGTAAGGATCTGTGTGTTCATTGATGATCCTAAATTTACAAGAAAATCCAGTTGCAACACTACTGTATTTTGGTTGTCCATGAAAACGGCCAGTCTACCAAACTGGTCCCTGCTGTATGCAGTGCAGTTGCACCCCTATTCATCCTTGCAATATGTCTCACTGTTGGTCATTCTGCCAGAGGTGACCTGGTTGTGGCTTCACACTGTGCTTCCCCTCCTGGGAGCAGATGTAAGACATTGAATGGGATTTAATGTTAGTGGCCCTCAAGTATTCACATACAGTGGGTTTTCTGACAGCTGATCTTGAGGTTGCCACATAGAGTAGCTGGTCCTCAGAACTGTCTTCTGGCCAGCTCTGATAATAAAATGGTGCAATACGTCAACTGCATAGTGTTCAAATAGAATTGCTTCTGACCTGTCTCATGGCTGGGATGAAAGTGTATATAGTGTAGTATTGTAGTTGTGTCATGATCATGGTTGGAATGGAAGTGATGATGGGAGATTTACATGTCCCTAGTGAAGTTCAGCCCTCTTCTTGCACACTGATAAAACCTCTCTGCCAGGGATAACATATCCGTGCCTCTAGCATTCCACATCACCCAGCACCCCACTGCTGAAAAATGCACACACTTGATCAACTCAACCAGGATATATTTTCATTTAAGGAAATATTAGACTTGTGTTAGTTGATTACAGTAGAGAAGCTTGCAAAAAGGTTTGCCATAACCTGAGTCAGTTCCAGTTTGTTTCAGACCAGCCAGCTGACAGCTTCACTCCTTGTTGTGGACAAAGGCGGACTAGGGGTTTGTGAGGCCCTGGGCCAGAGCAAGTGAGAGCCCCTCCCCCCCACTTCTGCCTGCAGTCCTCCCCTCCTCCCCCCCGACCCCCCGATGCTCCTGCCGAGGAAATGGAGTTGGGGTATGGAACCTTGCACTCCCCGCCCCATCCTCCCCTCACCCGGCACTCCTGCCAGGAAGCGGGTCGGCTCAAGGGGGCTTTGCCCACTCCCCAGCAGGAGTGCCAGGCAGGCGGAGTGGGGAAAGCCCCTGCGCCCTGACCCTGCTCCTCGGCAGGAGCGCTGTGTGGGCATCCATTTTTCCGAGGGACCCCCAATTGGCCATGGCCCCTGGGCACAGGCCCCATTGGCCAAGCAGCTAATCTGCCACTTGTGGACCATTCCCTTGCCATAGCTAAATCCACTCCTCTTCTTCTGACTTGCCAATGATCTACAAACAAAAATTACATGCTGACTTAAATGCACATGTTAAAAACATTTCTATTTCCATACTGTGCCCTGGGCCTTGTAGAGTGACAACTATGAATGTCAAGTCTGCAAGTGATTGCTATCAACAAATCTGTAGGTTGAATTGGTGGTACTGGACTGAACTACGTACAGAGAAGTCTGATTTGTTTTAATATACTGTAGATTTCAGTCATGACAGTGCCCTACATATTACTATGTAGCATGATGGCTAAAGTCTGATATTTAAAGAAAGGGGTAAAATGTTAGTCTCAAACTTACCTCATTCTCAGGTGCTCACCATGCTTGACCTTAAAAATTGCAAACAAAATTACACTGGATTATTTGGGGAAGAATGGTGTTAACCTTCTCCCAGCTGTGGGAATAGTCTATATATCCAGATATATTTTGCAGCTTGCCCTGAAGTTTGGTGTTCCAGTTCCAGTACCCACATCGGCAGTTGTGCCCTTTTTATGATAACAATAAAGAACGCAGCTGAGGACAGGGACTATGGAGTCCTTAGGGTGGTGAAGGCTTTGATCCCTCAACCCCCTGTAGTAGGAGGCAGGAATGAATAATGTCTTTACAAGAATGGAAAAACTTAATCTTAAAGATTTTGCGGAAACATCCTATTAGTATCTACAGGTTTTAAAAAGTTACTTGTTTTGTTTTTTCTGGATTCCAGATGTGTTTGCCATTAATAACAGAACAGGTGTTATCTTTATTAAAAAGCCTCTTGACTATGAAAGTGTGAAAAGCTATGAACTTCGGGTACAAGCAGACTCACTACAAGTGGTACGATCCAATCTACGTGTCCCTTCCAAAAGTAAGTTATATTTCATGTATTTTCAAAAATATAAACATATTTAATTTAATAAAAATACTTTTTGAGACTAAATAATGTTACTATGTAACTTTATCTTACAGGGTATTGATAAGCATTCACTCTAACCACTTATATAATAATTTTGTGTTGCTCTGTTTTCACTATGTATGTAGATAGTGATACCAAGTAAATCATAAAATATGCATTAAAGCCTCCCTAGTAGTGTCTGCTAGGAAGGGGATCCATGGAAGAGATAATACTGCCTAATTACTAATTATATCCATGATATACATTTGTAACTCTTATTATCCACAGGAAAACGGGCCTTCAAGAGTTGAATTAATATTCAGTATAATTACAGTTTCTTCTTTTAATTGAAACATAAAACCCATCAAAACCTCACTGAAGCAAAATTTAAGAATATTTTTTCAAATAAAATATACAACCCAAATACACACAACTCACCATTTCTGCAGGGCTGATATTTGTTTGCAGAGGAGATTGGTGGGTTCTAAAGTTCTCTGATGCAACTTGTAAACTTATCTCTAGGTGAAACTTCGAAGTGGGGCCAATTTTTAAATATCAATCAGGGAAAACAATGTTAACACCAATAACATTACTTTTACTCCAAAAATATGAATCATAATCTATCCAAAACTAAATGTCTCCTACTGGAAATGCTAAATATAACTAGTAAGTAACATCCAATAATCAGTTAGCAAATTTCATGGTCCCTTTTTATTTTTTATTTTTATTTTTTTTAATAGCACCTATTCTGTACACAGATTGAGAACACCTTCACAGTATGCTTTTTATTTTGGTAGGGTTTTAAGAAACATAGTTCTGAAAAATAAGAACTTTGCTAGGAACTTCTAAATGCTCATAATAATAAAATTGCATAAGAAAAGTCGTGTTAACTGGTAAATTTAAATGATTAAAGCTTATGGTAGTTTAACTTGTTACATTCTGCTTACTTCACCACAATTAACTAAACTTAATGGGCAAAAGCAATAGAATAGTTTGCTGGACTTTCCACTATTATGAAGAGGCAGGGAATGTGTGCTATGTACAGTATTTGGTTTTCTTTATGGCTGAGAAAAACCTTTGCAAATGTTTGGGATGTTCTCTTTTCTTTCATGCTATTTTCTGAACATGTCAAAGTGATGATTTAAAGGGGCAAACATACCAAGTAATAGTTGTAGTTTAATGTGGCACAGACATTTATGCCCTCACACATATCTACAATGAAAAATGTGCAAAGTATGCCCATACTGGGCAGCTTCCTGTCTTAAGAGATCATCCAAAGTATATTTGAAGTGTCCCCAAAGATATTGGGCCTGAGTCTCCATTGCCCAACACCTTGCATAGTCATTTAAATTGATACAAAGTGAAAGCAAAGTGGAGGTACAATGCTACTAAATCAAAATGAAAGCAGTTTACATCCATTTTGTGCTGAAGTAAATGGCTATGCAAGGTGCGGGGCTACAGGGAATCAGCGCACTGAGAGCAATCCTGCTACTGGTTTGTTAGAAGACCACTTACCAGAAGGAACTGATTTATTTCAGTTCCCTAGTTACAATAGGCAAGTTTCCCTATGTAGTGTGTTCTGCTGTCATGTCTGAAGTGAACCTTGGCTCCAGGGCATGGTCCGCTGTGGATGTGGTTATGTTATACCAATATAACAGTTATTCTGTGATTTTTATTTCTGGACTTTCCTCTTGGCTTATTGCTAGCCTTAAAAATCCATTGTGATCTCTTGATCCTGGGCTGCTCTGCACTTGGCTAGCCCTTAGCACAGTTTAGAACGCCAAGGGCTGTTATGGTAGGTGGGAATCACTGAGGTATGGGGCACCTCCCTTTTCCCCAGCCATGCCCCCTGCCCAACCCACAGGAAGGATGGTGACATAGGAATCACTATCATGCCTTTATACTAGGAAGAGCTTCCTATAGCTAGGTAAGCCAGTGATTCAGTTCACACTAGCCATAATGCAGAGGGGGAATCTAGCCTTCCATCTCTTTGGGATCAAAATTGACACTTGAGCTGAAAAATCATGACAGGTACTATTTTCTACACAAAAGTGCTGGCCTTTTTAAAAAAAAAAAAAAAAAAAAAAGGTTGGCAAGTGTTATAGGTTATCCCCAAGATGTGATCAAACTTACTGAAATGATTGTACGTTGTTCTGTGTTTTAAGTAAACACAAATGTTAATTTGTTAAACTTTGTAATCATATTATAAAATTGAAATTACAGACATTAAACACATTTCAATGTAGAAGAATGTATAAATCTTTTCCTATCTAAAGTGCTGTAATTGTGGGCCAGACCATAAGGGATCACCATTTAAAAAGGCTTGTGAAAATAACAAAGGATATACCATTTGGTAATTACCTTGTAAATAAGAATAAATTGATGAGACAAGGTGGGTGAGGTAATATCTTTTATTGGACCGACTTTTGTTGGTGAGAGAGACAAGCTTTCGAGCTTATACAGAGCACGTCTTCAGTTCTGGGAAACTAACTCAAAGCTCATCATCAGAAGCAAGCTCCCCACAGATCAGGACACACCAACTCAAGGCAGCACCAGACCCTGCCAGAACAACAGATGCAAAACCAGCAGACATATCTCCTCTGCTACAGTGATCACCACCCCCCACAACACACGTTTCAAGATCCATGGGTCCTACACATGCCTATCACAACATGTGGTGTACCTCATACAGTGCATTAAATGGCCTAATAGCAACTATATGTGGGTGAAATCAGATAATCATACACTCTGATAAAAGATAAAAACACCACATCATCTGTGGATGAACACTTTTCACAAAGCAATTACTCTATATCTGACCAATCAGTCCTCATCCTCAAAGGAAACCAGCACAACACCTTCAAAAGATGAGTCTGGGAGATTAAATTAATAACTTTGCTAGACACTAAAAATCATGGATTGAATAGAGACACTGGTTTTATGGCTTATTAAAACCATCTGTAATCCACTAACAACCCCCTCCCAAGATGCTTCCCCATTGCCCTTCCTTTTCTCCCTGTGACTGGAAGGGTGTCAATGGGCCACTTGACCTTGAATGGTCCCTTGAAATAGGTGTTAGCCACTTATGCTAAACAATTTGTTCAAATCTTGTATTTTGCAGTGACACTTTGAGCTAGTTTCCCAGAGTTGGAAAAGAGCTCTGTGCAAGTTTGAAAGCTTCTACCTCCCACCAACAGAAGGTGGTCCAATCAAAGATATTACAGCTCTTATGCCAGAAACTGTGCCCAAGATTAGTCAGACCAAGCATGTTTCTAGTTACAATTAACATTGTTGCAAATAACACTCATGTACTTGTGGCACCTTAGAGACTAACAAATTTATTTGAGCATAAGCTTTCGTGGGCTAAAACCCACTTCATAGGATGCATGCAGTGGAAAATACCGTAGGAAGATATATATATACCGAGAACATGAAAAAATGGGTGTTGCCATACCAACGATAACAAGAGTAATCAATTGAGGTGGGCTATTATCAGCAGGAGAAAAAAAACTTTTGTAGTGATAATCAGGATGTAGGCCCATTTCCAACAGTTGACAAGAAGATGTGAGTAATAGTAGGGGGAAAAAAATTAGCATGAGGAAATAGTTTTTACTTTGTGTAATGACCCATCCACTCCCAGTCTTTATTCAAGCCTAATTTAATGGTTTCTAGTTTGCAAATTAATTCCAATTCTGCAGTTTCTCGTTGGAGTCTGTTTTTGAAGTTTTTTTGTTGGAGTATTGCAACTTTGAAGTCTGTAATTGAGTGACCAGGGAGGTTGAAGTGTTCTCCAACTGGTTTTGAATGTTATAATTCTTGACGTCTGATTTGTGTATTTATTTATTTATTCTTTTGCGTAGAGACTGTCCGGTTTGGCCAATGTACATGGCAGAGGGGCATTGCTGGCACATCATGGCATATATCACATTGGTAGATGTGCAGGTGAATGAGCCTCTGATAGTGTGGCTAATGTGATTAAGTCCTATGATGGTGTCACCTGAATAGATATGTGGACAGAGTTGGCAACGGGCTTTGTTGCAAGGATAGATTCCTGGTTTAATGTTTTCGTTGTGTGGTATGTGGTTGCTGGTGAGTATTTGCTTCAGGTTGGGGGGCTGTCTGTAAGTGAGAACTGGCCTGTCTCCCAAGATCTGTGAGAATGAGAGATCATCCTTCAGGATAGGTTGTAGATCCTTGATGATGCGCTGGAGAGGTTTTAGTTGGGGGCTCAAGGTGACGGCTAGTGGCGTTCTGTTACTTTCTTTGTTGGGCCTGTCCTGTAGTAGGTGACTTCTGGGTACTCTTCTGGCTCTGTCAATCTTTTTCTTCACTTAAGCAGGTGGGTATTATAGTTGTAGGAATGCTTGATAGAGATCTTGTAGGTGTTTGTCTCTGTCTGAGGGGTTGGAGCAAATGCGGTTGTATCTTAGAGCTTGGCTGTAGACAATGGATCGTGTGGTGTGGTCTGGATGAAAGCTGGAGTCATGTAGGTAAGTATAGTGGTCAGTAGGTTTCCGGTATAGGGTGGTGTTTATGTGACCATCACTTATTAGCACTGTAGTGTCCAGGAAGTGGATCTCTTTTGTGGACTGGTCCAGGCTGAGGTTGATGGTGGGATGGAAATTGTTGAAATTATGGTGGAATTCCTCAAGGGCTTCTTTTCCATGGGTCCAGATGATGATGATGTCATCAATGTAGCGCAAGTAGAGTAGGGGCATTAGGGGACAAAAGCTGAGGAAGCGTTGTTCTAAGTCAGCCATAACAATGTTGGCATACTGTGGGGCCATGCGGATACCCATAGCAGTGCCACTGACTTGAAGGTATACATTGTCCCCAAATGTGAAATAGTTACAAAGTCACAAAGTTCAGCCACCAGGTTTGACGTGACATTATCGGAGATACTGTTCCTAACGGCTTGTAGTCCATCTTTGTGTGGAATATTGGTGTAGAGGGCTTCTACATCCATAGTGGCC